CCCCCCCCGGCCCATTTTTTTTTTTTTCGTTCCATCCCACTTCATGTGGTAGTCCTAATTTTATGACTACTGTCTCCACATTTGGGCATAAATTTTCATGACTGTCATTGTCACTACACCCATATTCATCTCCTCCATTGCAGCTTGTAACTTGATCAGAGGCCATTTTTCGGACCTCACCTATCTGCAATAATTTTCTCAGTGATCACAGTTTAAAAATAAGATAATTATAATTATTTTATCAAAGTATTATGTTAAAAATTACTGAAATTTAGTGTTATTAATTGAATGTTTTTAATGCATTATTCCGCTTTTCATGTCATGTCACATTGCTTGAACCCCCTCCCCTCATCACAAAAATGTGACACCCCCTATAAGCTATGTCATTTATGGAAGGCCTCAAGGGTAAAAACTCTGTATGATGTCTACTTGTGAGTAACACTCTGTCTTACCGAACAATTAAATACATCATCATCATCAACGCTAGTGCTAAGTTGAAAATAACAAGTCTAGTATTCTTTATTTACCACTACACAAATGTAACAGTTTATAAAAGTAAAGCTACGAGTCTAATGAAGCATTATACACTGAACTACCATGAATAATAATAGTAAACATATAAATAATAAACTTTTCGACATCAGTCATCAGTATCAGTCATCATGTTTATTGACATTCAAACTTCAACAAACCACATTTACAGTCTAGACCTCAAAATACTGTATCATTTAACACCCAACTCAGGGTAAAACATACAGAAACCAGTTCATAACGGTGATTATCATCTTATTTATTAGTTAAGCCGCCATAGCAGTCTATTATTAATTAATCAATCTTAATTTTATAAATTTTAATCATAATAAACACACATAAAAATAAAAGGATACTCTCCATATTCGACATGACTGTGGATGTTGACTTTCAGTTAAGGTTGTAGGTCTGTAATATTATTTAAGAAGAGGTGTACCAAATCGAAATTGTATTGCCTGAATTTTTTTTTATCAGCAATGAATTACACACTTGCTTGTGACTCTAAAGTTTATTTTAGTCTTCTATAAAATATATGGGTTTGCTTTCTATGACGTCATTCGCGGAAGTAAACACAACTCTAATTTTAGTCGTAGAACTCTCAGTCCTCTGTGTCATCATCATAGAATGATCATAATCTTTCAAGTTCAAAATATTTTTTCTCCAAAAACTAATAATTAAATTTGTGTATAATAAAATAAAATTAAAATGGCTCCATCCATGAAAAAAATAAATAATGTGTGTAGTCTTTTAAATAATGTATTGTAAATAAATAGTTTCTTTAACGTCAAGAAAGTTTTTAATTCAGACATTCCGGAACTGACACTCTTTTACATGAAAAATAAATAAATGAGGGAATCAGACATTTGCAAGTCACAGTGTAGCTATTTAATTTTTGAAGTATCGTTAGATTACATTTTGGCTACACAAACAATTAAGCTTTTGGGTTGAAATATTTGTTCAAAGATGGTAAGTTCTTTTTTTTTTTCTTCAAGGAACAAATGAACTTTGGATGTTAAAGACCTATTCTTTGTAAGGTACCATCGGCCATCGGTTCAATAAAAAAATGCCAAAAAATGCAGTGCAATGAATGGCAATTGACAATTAAAATGTTGGTAAGCCAAAATGTTGAATAATACCAGGCTCAGACTCAGAAATTTCTTTCCAAGTCTAATTTGCTTATAATTATAAGAGTTTAAGAGTTTTAAGCCTATTTAAAAAAATGGACAGTATGGATTATACTACACAAACTATGCTATGGCTATGGACCATGGATAATTTTGCTGTGTAACTGTGTATGTTTTTATTTTTGAGCAAATAAGCACTCTCCCTCAAATGTGCCTGCCTAAGTCTCTCAAAAAGTCCATTAAAACCCGTCTGTTTAGGTCCGCCTTTGACTTGTGATGCACCCTCCTTGCCCTGCCTCATTTTCTGTCTCGGGTTGATCCCTTAGTATAGGCCAAAACATGCCAAAGTGTACTAGTACTCGTTTTTATAGCCATTTTAATGTTTAAGCTACTGTTTCTGTAGTCATTTTTCACATTGTAGTTACTATTCTAGTGCCTCTGGTTTTTCATTTTGATTTTACTTTAGCAGTTTAAATAGTTTACCTATTTTTAATAATTGTAAAGCCAAAGCGCTTAGAGCTGTAAGGTAAACGCTATAAAAAAATGCCTAAATAAATAAATAAATAAATGCCTGGAGAAATGACTAATAACTAATACTAATACTAATATTAAATAGACTAACTAATGTGTGGTAAAAGTTAAGGCAATGCACTGAGTCTGAGTAAATACACTACTCACTACATAGCCATAGCACAAATTGTTTGTGTCGAAGTCATAGAAAAAAAATGTACCACTTCTTTCTCTTAGGAACTATGTCTATTGAGGCTAGCTAGGGTGCACTCACTGACTGACATAATTTGTTAAATTGTTTGAGATGATCAAGTAATTTTGTACTCTAGTGACATAAATTGAAAACCTTGATTAGGCCTATCCTGTTTTCATTAACCAGGGCTAATATTTTACAAAATGAAAAATTACCAGTGAAGACCTTATATTTTATATCTAAAACTTTTGCTAAGAAAATATTCAGCTTATCAATAAATTAATAAAATAACAATTCATTTGTATTTTGATTAATTATTTCGATAATATGTAAAATTGTAACATATTATTGAAATAATTAATCAAAATACAATTGAATGGTTATTTTATTGATTTAATTATAAGCTGAATATTTTGTAAAATTGTAACTTGTTATTGTTTAATTTTATTTCATAGAGGGTCACAAAAAATTTGTTTTGAAAAGTGTATAATTGGCTTCGACCTGGTGGGGGGCAGTTTAAGGGTCAAAGTGGGTGGTGGCCAGAACAAAATTTGAACACCACTGATCTAAAGCATAAATGACATCATTAGTTCAGCTAATTTGATGATGAAATTTGTTAGAGGCTTAATTTGCTCTTTTGTTAAATTAATTAATAATGAACGTCTTTTGTTTATAGTTTCGAAACCAGTATGACAATGATGTTACAGTATGGAGTCCACAGGTAAAAGGGTTGCAGAAATTTGTAATAAATTAAATAATTTATGTTTTTTTTATATTTAATACAATTCTTATATTTTTTAAGAATCATTATTTTTCATCTCCTCACATATTCTTTGTCACTTTTCTATTTATGTAAAGATAATTAAAACTTCAATGCAACTACCCATTAGTCTTCATAGATAATTGTATTTTCATTTTTTTAAAAATAATAATAGCATGTAGTTCAGATGAGCCTTTGTGTTGAATAATATGGAAAACTTAAGTAGAATTTAATAATAATAATTATCTGGTTTACAACTGCCTATGAACTACTTTTAATTAATGCAAACTTAAGACTTGGTTAAATATTCTAAATATCTACTTCAGGGGCGTATACATCAACTGGAGTATGCTATGGAAGCAGTCAAGCAGGGATCGGCATGTGTTGGTCTAAAGTCTAGGACTCATGCTATTTTAGTGGCACTCAAGGTAAACTACAAATGGTTTAATAAGGTTAATCATGAAAAACAACACCAGACAAGCCACAACATCAGATATTCTAGGAGAAGCCAAACCAGTATCTTCTAAGTAAAAACTGGCCATTGTTGTCTGCAGTTTTGCCATTATCTAGAAAGTTCTGCAAAGACTTCCGGTCTGATGACCCAAAAATATACACCAAGATCTCTGGACCTGTAGATAAACTGCACAGTTCAAGATTTTCAAGATTTTAACACGTATAAAAATTCACAGTTTATTGATTGAAACAGCAGTTTATTAATTGAAACAGCAGTTTATTGATTGAAACAGCAGTTTATTGATTGAAACAGCGCATGCTTCACTGATAACTTTTATTATGTGCAACTGTTTTTAAAAATAAAAAATTGAAAGTGATCATATTTTATCATTGAAAAGATTTAAAAATTATTTTGTAGCGGGCTCCATCAGAATTGTCAGCTCATCAGAAGAAAATTTTACCTATTGATGATCATATAGCAGTATCTATTGCTGGCTTGACTGCTGATGCCAGATTATTATGGTATGCTATTTTCAACCTTATATACGTAACGGTAAAGACAATAACCAAGGTGATCCAAATTAAACCACTCATTCAATTGGCATCAAGCAACTAAATCATTTACTTTTTAAGTCTTTTATTTGTCAAAATAAATTTAGGCAAGGGTTAAATCTGCCTTGATGTTGAATGAGATAAGATACTTTTATAGCTTCAAATAAATGGAAATATTTTTATTACAATGTACATATTCATTTTCAGCACTTAGATAAATATTCTTAACAAGACAACATTTTAAACCAGAACATTTTAAATACAAGACATTTGAATTTCTCCCTAGTGCAAAAATCAGTTGTCATATACCATAGAACTTCACTCCCTTAGTGACAATATTGAATAAAGAGTGATTATTTAGGTTTAGTATTAGCCTTATTGAGCTGATTCATCTGTGATGAAGAGGGTGGACTGTATCCTCGGATAATGTTTAGTTTATTAATGCATTTTGCTTCAAAGAGAATGGTTTTTGCTTATTTCACCTTTTTTTCTTCCAGTAATTATATGAGGAATGAATGCCTAAATTCTCGTTGGGCTTACAATGCCCCACTTCCAGTATCTCGTTTAGTGGCAGCAGTTGGAAGTAGTATCCTTTCAAAATATGAAACGCCTTGTGTAGTTTGTCATTTAACTGTTTTTATTTTTAACTTACCTTTTTCTGTTAGCTATAATGGTGAAAATTTTAATTATTGAAAACTTTAACGGCTAATCAATAGTTCATTCAATAAATTCAAATGTTCAAACACGGAAAACATTCAAAAGTCCTTTTATAAATAAATTAAAACAGTGGATCAGCTTCATAGACATAAATACATATAACAGGACAGGCATCAACTTAGACAAAACTTAAGACCCAAAATTTACTTGGTTAAAAATTGATAGTAGTTTTATATATTTAAAAAAAACAAAATCCCTGGAGAGCTTTTAAAATATTCCATGTGTAATAGAATTCCTTAACAAGATGAACAGAATCCCAGATACCGACTCAAAGATATGGCAGGCGTCCATTTGGAGTTGGTCTGCTAGTAGCTGGTTATGATGTAAGTTGATTAAAAGTATTATGATGTGAGTTTATTTAAAGTATGCCATTTTACAATGTAGTTGTTTAAAGTATTATTATGTGAGTTTATTTAAAGTAGCCATTTTATAATGTAGTTGATTGAAGTATTATCTTAAAGGTTAGTTAGAAGTATCATTTATATAGGCATTGTCACTTGTCAGAGGTTCAATCTAAAAAGTGTTCAGTGTTTTTTATGTAGATATGAACTGACATTACTCGGAAACATTTATATTCTTTCTTTTATGATTATTATTAATGCTGTCTTCTCCTTAACTCTTTCACTGCAGAAATTTTTTATTGAAAATGTGTACATTTTTTTCAAAGAGCAAGAAAGAGTGATTGGCTGGGTTTATTAAAAAAATGTTTAAAATATTATTTGTTGGTTTATAACACTAAAATTGGTATCAAATGACAGGTAATTGAATGGGCTTTATGTTTGTAAACTTATTTTTTTTCAGTTTAAATAAAATAAGTATGGTAACAGAAAAGAACCATAAAATGTGAACAAATTATATATTCTGAACCATTTTTCCCCAAACCCTATGGTGTACGCATACCTCATCTTCACTTCTATAACTCAAATCCTCTAAAACTTCTACTATCAGAATCATGTGATGGATCTAAATATAAATCATCTTCACTATCAAAAGAAATAGTATAAAACAATTCCAAAGCTTTTTGAGCTGTTAATTGTCTAGGAAACTTACTCACCTGCCAGGACATAGGGGAGCCATAGCAACAGTAGAAAAAAATATAGAAGAAAATCACTAAAATAATGCTTCATATTATAACAAATAAATCTTGGTTTTGCTTATAAACAATGAACTACCGCTCTTCTATGAAAAAAGTATTATTTAAAAATAGCTCTTAAAAAGTTTAACTGAGAAATAGCCAAGAAAAAACATGACATTGAAACAACGCAGACTGCGTTGGTCCGTGTTTTTTAGAACGGCGAATGAACACACTGTGCGTTGCTCCGCAGCGAAAGAGTTAAAGCAATGCACATATTTTTCTTAATACTATAAATTAAAATGTATCATGAATTTTGCTAATTTTTAAAGAACATTTCTCCCATAAATTTATACCCTAGGCTCAAGGTCCACATATTTACCAGACATGTCCATCAGCTAACTATTATGACTGCAAAGCTATGGCTATTGGAGCCCGATCTCAGTCAGCTAGAACTTACCTTGAAAAGCATTTGGATGTTTTTCTTGACAGTAAGTAAAAATCATTTGATAAACCTCTTACTCCTTTAGCGCTACTTTGATTTTTTTATACATTGTTTTTAATTTATTGTTAAATCTAATATTCCATGGCTCACCAGGTTCATTAGATGAGTTGGTTAAACATGGTCTTAGGGCACTGAGAGACACGCTACCTCAGGAGATAGACCTCACAGCCAAGGTAATGATGGATGCAACTGATTCACTTAAAGTATCTATTGAACCTTAGTAATTATTTTCTTAGTTTTTTTTGGTACATTTTGTTTGTAAAATAGATTTTGATGTAACAGTTAATTCTGTATGTCTTTAATTCATGCAGAATTGCTCCATTGGTATTGTCACCAAAGATACAAAGTTTGCCATCTTGGATGATGATCAAGTAGCTCCATATGTATCCTTTCACACATTTTGGGCTCGAACTTCAGACACATAACTTAGTGGGTTAACTCCTGGCATATATCAGGGGGGACAACTTGATTTTTTTAACAGATAACTCTTGATCTTTTATTTCTGTATCACTGTGGCAATGCATCAAAAAAAGCCAAAACTCAAGGCAGATGTTTTGCTATCCCACATTGTCAGTAGTGCTTGCCTCAAGCCTGCAAACTCAATAAAATGTACTTCGTGTTCAAATTCTTAAATGACCACCTTTACATAACCCCTTATGGTTTTCTGCTCCATATTTATTTTTATATTGGAAATCTATTTTTTTCATTTTATAAGAACTAATATGCTGAACAAAAATGGTTTGCTGAGCTACCAGCCACTCACAATACCCCATCCCCAGCTTCCCCACTAAGAAGATTTGAAAAGCCACACATAAGAACCAGCCACTACTTAGACCCCATTGGTGGCCAACACAGGTGCCAGGCCACCTACCATATCCAAACTTGACATTAACAACCTTATTCTCCCCTCCCATTCTGGGGTGTAGGTGGTTGCCAAATTAGGAGATATTTTTTTATCGTTTCCAGCTGGTTTGGGTCAATGGAGGAAGAGTGCTTGAGTCTGCCTGCGAACAGTGTCCTTCATGATTGTATGTGTTAAATCACCAGTGAGTGATACCACATCCTTGTTTGCCATCTTGTATTTGTAAATGACAGCATGTATTCATGGTACATAGCCGTTTCCAGCTTCCTAGAATGATCATCTTTGCATCTTATACTTATCTTGTCTATTTCACTGAACCCCGGATAACATGAGGGGTTTGAGGGGCGGTGTCCCCAGAAGATGTCCCAGGTCAGATATGTTTAAATGGATTGTACAATAAGTGAATTATTACTTTTATGTGCATTAAAAAAAATGCCTTAATAAAGCAAAGCTGGCCATGATTGAGGGAGAGGAGAGAAGCACACGGCCTGTACCTGATGAAACAGGGGTAAGTTGTAACATTGTTAACATTTAGTTACATAAAATATTTAAATGGATAAGTCTATATTATAACAGAAAGGAGCATTAAAAAAAAACAATAATTCCAACTCACGAATACTGTACTTAATTTCTTACAAGATGAAGACTTTCAAGAAAAACGTGAAATGAGTTATGTACAGGTTTGCTGAGTGTCTCATACTTAATGTGTAATTTCTTGTTTGATATATATCTGCATTCAGCAACGTATTGCTATTCCTGAGTTAGATGACATTCCTGTGAGTAACTGAGACCTTTTCAACAGTTGATCCATTACTTTTCCTTTTTATTTCTTTTTTGTTGACATTTTACTTGAAAGTTCACGTTCATTAACTTTGTACATTAACATTTGCACCCAAAGAAACACTACCTCTGGAATTATGATTTATTTACTAAATAGTTCAGGCCAATGTTAACCAAAGAACCATTCATTGAATATTTTCATATTGTCTTTGTGTTAAATTTGCCTGGAAAATGTCTTTGTTCTTTTCTTTTGTTCAATTTTTATTTTAAAATAACATTAATTTTTGTTGCATTTTATTATAAAATGCATTTCATATTATGTCAAAGCTTAAAAAAATACATTAACAAAGATTGAGCCCAGTTGGTTCTTTCCAATGAATAAATGGGTAACTTCACCATTTGTGAGTGATGGTGTGAAGAGACCATTTTTTAGTGCTTCATTTTTTACTGATCATAATCACTAATCAATGTTACATAAGTCAGTTATTGACAAGCTTTGCAAGACAGACCCAACAAATTTATTTACAGCGTTGTGAATTTTCACATTTTTGAATTAAAAACACGATCACACCATTTTAATTAAAGCAATGAAAAGCTTAACTTGTCATCTGCAACCATTCTCGGGTGAAGAGCTGGAGGGTATTTTTGTTTTCATTTAATTCAGATATGGATGTACTTTTGTTTAGAAGTCTGGTCTCTTTCTCTTCAACAATACTTGAATAATTTAGACAAGCATTTTGTCTTACTCTAGAGCTTCGATTTTCAGAACGAATTGGTGTTTCAGATAAAAAATTTGTCAGATAACCAAAATTAGTGCAAAGAAAACACATATTGGGTCCGTGGTGTTTCAGATAAAAAATTTGTCAGATAACCAAAGTTAGTGCAAAGAAAACACACATTATTTTATAGTGCTTGATTTTGGCATATCTGAACTTTTTTTTTTTTTTTTTTTTTGCTTGACACCCTTTTTATTCAGCTCCCTGACCCCCCCCCGTTATCAATTTTAAAAAAAATAAAGTTAGTGCAAAGAAAACACACATTATTTTATAGTGCTTGATTTTGGCATATCTGAACTTTTTTTTTTTTTTTTTTTGCTTGACACCCTTTTTATTCAGCTCCCTGACCCACCCCCGTTATCAATTTTAAAAAAAATATTAATTCTGGGTGGTGCATATGTCCCATGTTGAGAGACACTGCTTTAATGTATTGTGCATGAACCACACCGCAGGACGTATAAGGGTTGGATGATTGATGTCCTACTGCTGTGGGCTCAACAAAAAATAACCGGCCAAAAAGGTCGTTTCCAAAAGCAGATTGCTGGTGATTAAAATAAGATCAAGATCCCAGGTCACTTTGTCTTGGCAGGCATGCATTCTGCAACACCAGGGTACATCAATTCATTAAAAAGTTTGCAGATTAGCATTATTCCATTCTCTGGCCATTGGATGAACAATTCATATTTAGATTTTTGGTGTACAGTGCGGCACAGTTCGGAGATGTCACTTTGTCTTGGCAGGCATGCATTCTGCAACACCAGGGTACATCAATTAATTAAAAGTTTGCAGATTAGCATTATTCAATTCTCTGGCCATTGGATGAACAATTCATATTTAGATTTTTGGTGTACAGTGCGGCACAGTTCGGAGATGTCACTTTGTCTTGGCAGGCACGCATTCTGCAACACCAGGGTACATCAATTAATTAAAAGTTTGCTGATTAGCATTATTCAATTCTCTGGCCATTGGATGTACAATATATATTTAGATTTTTGGTGTACAATGCGGCACAGTTCGGAGATGTTTTCAGATGTTTGTACAAATGTGTTCCATGCTATGGGCATTGTGTACAATAATCTAACAATGAAAGATGGTGGCTGTTCAAATAACTAACGTTTTGGGTAATAGGCTTGGGTAATAGGCGTTTGGGAAATCAACATTTATTTTGGTTGAATATTCAAAACAAGCATATTATTAATTATTATAATATTAAATGGTATTCAGCTATGACTTGTGATTTATGATCAGGAAACTGACAAAAAGATTTAGAACTAATTAAGTTTTTTATTACGATTTGCATGATTTTCCAGGAACTGCCTTCAAATGTCACTGAATCTCATACATGTATAACTTAATTATGTTATTTCTTTTAATAGCAACCCATGGAGGCAGATGACCAGGTAGGAGCTGCACAGCCAGACCCTCTTATCACAGATCCTCCAGCAGTGGATGAGAGTATGGATCAATAGATGGCTTATTCATTAAATCTCTCACCATTATTGTCAATGACTTATTCATTGTGTATCTCAAACCTTTTATTGTTATGTTTTATGAATGCAAATTTACTTTAATCGATGAGCCTCTTTCAATTTAGAAGTTGGTATTTAAACAAAACTGCTTCTGTCAATGTTATAAAGAAGAAAATTTAAGAAGAATCAAGGATTTTGACTGTAGCCTGATAAAAAATATTAACAAAATTTTAATTTCTTTTTGTTCATTTATAGTTTTTGAAACTGGTTTTCAGTTAAAACATTAAACTATCGATGCATTGTTGAAACATGTTTCACTCATGATGTCCATGATTCAGCGTGATGTTTTAGATGTTCTGGCCAAATGATCTTTGAACATCATGAAAAGAAATACTGACATTCTCAAGAATTAAAGTGATTTCACCAACAAATCGTTCTACATGATGGTCAGTGGTATTTCATTCACTTAATTTGTAATCTCTGCCAATTTTACAGATATTCAGTAGAACGTAAAATAAGATTCTGAAATGTTACTGTTCGTTGCATTGTGTAACTGAAGTGATGGTTTGTCATTTTTGTTGTCATTTTGTTATAAAAATTAAATTTGAACACAAATTTTCAGTATTTTTGTTATTGAAAATCTCTGCTGTTATTTTTTATACTCTTTCAAAACATCCATTAGAATTAATCTTTTTATTCTTATTTATTTACATAAAAGCAGAAATAATAAACATTTTATACAAGGCAGTGAAACTGCTTTGATCAATTCTACACCAAATACATGAAATGCCACCACTTGTAAATAACATGATTTAAGGCAAATGCTATTTTAAATAATGTACAAAAAAAGTTATGAAAGCGCCATGCATAATAAATTCAGCACAACTTAAGAATTGGAGCCATTTCATTTTGCATTGACTTGAGCATAAGCCAGTGATCTTGGGGTTTGGTTACATTCACTATAGCACTCCAAACACAGTTGCACCAATCTTTTATGTTACTAAATGTTAAAAGTATCTAGTTATTTTCTATTGGGGAGAAAAAGATGTGTAAATCAATTTATTTTGCCCAAATTTCATACAATGTCCATTGAACCTGTATAATTGAATGAAATAAACATCGACTAACACTTGTGCACACAGTATTTATGAGCAGCACATATTGGGAAAGTGGCTTGATGCAGCGCCGTCGCATGACTTAAGGAGGCCCCCTGTTTCTTTTCAGCTTTTAAAATTTTTTTTGAATGGTAATGAAACTCTGGAGCAGGTAGTCAAAATTCACACTATGACTCTTGACACATAAAAGAACTAAAGAATTGCGTGTTCAGTAAAAAAGCTTCCACAAAAATTATTACATTTCCTTATATTTATATGGATAATAATAATATGTCCTATTTTACTTTGTGGCTAAACTAAAATGTAAATTAAAAAAAAAAAAGTAGCCCATAAGAATGTGGTTGAATACCACAAAACTTAATGACTTTAAGCTGTAATTTGAAAAACTAATACTCATGCCTGTTTCGCTTGACAAAATTGTACAGATTTTAAAAGTGAGTAACAATGAGTTACACTACACGAACGTAACACTATTGGCAACACAAATATTATAAAGGCCTCACTTTAAAGTTTTTGGTGGTAAAAACAAAAAAAATGTTTGACTGATACATACATGAAGTTAAATGAATTTGTCAGAGTTCAAAACCCACAATGGTGTTTTAATTCTTGGCAAAGAATTCTTGGACACAGTCTATGCTAAGACCTAGATGCATTGACAATAAATATCCTGAAATTTTTTTTAAATGAATATATGTCTAAGTTAAGTAGTGACCAATAAAGATTTGAAAATGTATTTTGATAATTCTGTACACCTGCTGTGATGTCCTTTTTATATCACTAAGTTTTGGACATTTGTCCAAAAAAATATTAAATAAATAATAATCAGCATCCATGTACTACTGACTAGAAAATAAATGATAAACATAATGGCAAAATTTACAGAAACATCTCCAGTGAGCCCCTGATAAGTAAGTTTGTTCGTTTGGTAAAGAGCCAAAATACAAAACTATTCCACCAGTATTCAAATAATCAGTTTTCACAGACATACGATCCCACATCCGAGAGTAAGATAAATGACATAAATTAATGAAGCACCTCTGGTCTAACTAGGTAGGTTTCATCTACATTTCATCATCTTTTCACAAGGTTATTCAGATCCAACTTTGTTAAAATATCAAGAGAAGGTAACCATTGGTCAAAATGTGACTGTTTTTTTATAACTATAAATAAACTAAATTCTACAAATGCAAGTCCATTATTTCATGAAATTCATTACATGAGATGAAATGCAATAATGATTATTAATTCAATTAATCCAGTAACTACACATAAATATATCTGGGATAAGTATGCATCAAGGATCGACAAACAGGCAAACATAAAGCAGCAATAAAATACACACAGAAAAATGTACATATCACATATTGCACTGAAAAGTTGATGATTACACATAAAGATTTCTACCTCAAAAGGCTGCATGAACAGATAAAACATTTGGGTCCCTTTTTTTTTAGGTTTAATAATTGGTATGAGAACACAAAGATGAGTGAAATAGTTAGTAAACAATAAACATTTCACTCGACTTGGGGGCATTGCTGATTCAAATGCCAGCTTTTCTTTAACATTACTGAAGTGACAATCCTGATATACCTATTTATTAAGTTCATCATTCAAATTGATGCTTTGCAAAATAAATGCGCAACCAATGCATTGTTTGGCCCTATTTCATTCATAAAGCTAGCTTAAATGTTTCTTATGCTTGGCCTTATCTCTTCCATAAGACTGGCTTACATGGTCCTAATGCTCAAAAAATATATATTTGTAGTAAGCTGCCAAAGAAAACAAAAGAGCTAAAGTTATCCAATAAAAAAATTAAAAGAACTAAGATTAATTCCCCAAAATATTTTTTTTCTTAAATTTGAACAGATCTATTCCCAAACCTGAATGTTAGGGCTAAAGTTCCCAAGCCTGAATTTTAGGGCTAAAGTTCCCAAGCCTGAATGTTAGGGCTAAAGTTCCCAAGTCTGAATGTTAGGGCTAAAGTTCCCAAGCCTGAATGTTAGGGCTAAAGTTCCCAAGCCTGAATGTTAGGACTAAAGTTCCCAAGCCTGAATGTCAGGGCTAAAGTTCCCAAGCCTGAATGTCAGGGCTAAAGTTCCCAAGCCTGAATGTCAGGGCTAAAGTTCCCAAGGCTGAATGTTAGGGCAAAAGTAATGAAACACTGGTAGTTTTTCTTATTAACTATTCTTTTACAGAGCTTCAAATAAAGTTAGGCTCTAGAAAACTGCATCCAAAATGAGTCATTAAACAGCAGTATACAAGCAAATGAAACACAATTCAAATCTTATTGCTTGGGAGAATGTTGTAGAGATTAAATTAATAGTGGCAAAGGTGCATATTTTATTATAGAGTATCTAAATCAAAATATCTGCCCATGAAAAATAAATAAAAAAGTGTCAACCATTATACAGCAGTGTGCACACATATACTTATTAATCCTAATTTAGCATACCAGTACCAGTAATGAAAATAATCCTATCTTTTAATTAACTTATTGGTACCCTAATACAGTTTATTTTGGCCAGTTTTTAAGTCATCCATTTGTTGTAAATATACAATTTTGCAAATTGAGGTGCAAATCCAAACAAATTTTATTTCTTTTAAAATATTCTTAATGCAACTTACATAAAGGAAATATAATTATGCAAATTTAATCTAAGAGAGAGCATTCACAACAAATCATTTCTACTTTTTGTTTGTTAGAGTATCACTGAACCATATTTAGTTACAGGCTTTTAATCTTATGGTGCACATTTGGTGTTGTAGAGATTAAAACAATCAAGTTTATGTACTTGAACAGAATTTAACCCTTCCAGCACCGGCGCGTCTTTTTGCAGTGACCTACTTTTTTCCCTGTGTCCCAAGTGCGTCTTTTTCCCTGTGGCCCAAGCGGGTCTATTTGCTACAATGAGGGATATCTAATATAAACACAAAAACGAGGATATAACCTTTCACAATAGTCTTGGGGAGAATGTTTATTTGTTAGCGGCGGAATAGTAGAATTTTATTTTGCCTTCTAAATTATGAAAATCTAGCATTTAATGAGCTTTTTTGTGCGGATCTGTATTTGTTGTTACCATGGTGCCACCTAGTAATATTTTTGTTGATGACTTACGCCGCCCACTAGATGAAACCTTTTGTTCTGAAACTATTATTGAGCTTTTATTGGGATAGGATGAATCTGATAGGGGGGATGAAATTTCTGAAGGAAGTAGGCCTACTATAGCTCAAAAGGTTTGACAGGTTTAAGACCTAGTGCCAACGTAGATTGACTGGAGTAAAAGCGGCTGGGCACTGTGCTGACCACACAGTCCCTTTGTGTGCCATTGCCAACGAAAAGTGTGAACAAAACACATTAGTATTTTTAACACCTTTATCCAATTTTGAACAGATATATATTATTATCAATTGTTTAAAACAAAAAAGTTAAAAAATAATTTGCAAACCTATCAAATTTTGGCTCATTCCAAAATATTGTCTGGGCCACAGGGAATAATTAGCAAAATAATAGCCGTACTGAGGCTCTATAAATGGCAATAAAGTAGGTCAGTAATAGACGGGTTAACATAAGAAAAAAAATTGGTCTCACAGAGTGGATTCATTTTTTATAAAGGATTACAAAAGAAGTACCCATGAATAATAAGAAAAATGTAATTCATTTACATTCATTTTAAATAGAATTAAACATTTATTGCTACATTTTTACAATTTCTGATAACAATATTTAAAAAAAATTGTAATTAACATTTACATAATAATGTCTCGTATAATTTGAACCTAAAGCTGGTTACATAATTAGTTTAAAAATACAGAGTAAATCCCTACTTAAGGGAGTACAATTTTAATAAGAGATTATATTTCTTATGATGGGAAAATTATAATATTGATATGTTATGTTTTCCCTGTTTTTCTTGAAGTTACTGCATAAAAAATTAATATGTATAATTAAGATGTAGTTGAATATTGTTTCACAACCTTTTTTATCCAGGTGATACACTATAAAATCTCACCCATTCATAAATGTTTTATAAAACTCCAAATGAAACTGAAAGAGGCCCTGCCAGATCTGCAATAAATAAATCTCATGCTAATATCAAGAGTTAAAACTGAATTGTTGATCTAAGTATAGCTAACTTTTATAATGGTGGAGTGATCGGTTCCAGCTTCTCCCTTTCTCGTCTTGTGTCATAGCTCATGGGAGATAATACAAAACCTTTCTTAGCCATCATCTGCTTTAGATCGCTGTCCTCTTTCTGTTCCCTGTACAAAATAGAAAAACATTGTATCTGAATGTATAGATTTTATAAAAGAAGACTTTAAAATTTAAAAAAAAAACCAACACCTTTGACACCTATAATCTATATATATAATTCGCCAGAAGAAGTAAGGCAAACAAGACGCAGGCTATAAATAGATACGCCAGATCGAGCAAGCAAGACGCAGGCAAACCCTCCCTTCCCTTCGAGCATCAAGCTCGCGGCGTCTGCTAAGCTGTGGGTCGGCTATATATATATTTATATAGTTCATGGGCATGAAATAAAAAGTGTGCAGTG